TAACAAGGCTTCATATGTGGGAAATCTGTACGCACTCGCAGACACAAGTCAATAATAATGTAGATCAACTATTTTTCAATCAAAATAAATTATATTTAGACCTAAAAGCTAAACAAAACTGACTTGGTTGACGGATTTCGATTTCGAAAAAAGATTATGATTCCTTATGTTCTTTACTAGGATATATTGGAATTTTTTTCATTTTAATTCTAATTATCATAGATAAAAGACAAAATACTTAATGTACATTTTCAACAATACAACCATTTTATTTTACGATTTCCAGTAACTCCAGTAAACTTAATTAATCCACGAACAACTTAATAATCAATGCGTGACTTTTTCGGCTGGAGTTTTTGTGAAAAACAATCATTAGACCGTTCTTTTTTGAAGGAGATGCTGGAGCAGCCTGGCTGTCCAAAAACGAAACAAAGTAAATACCACTTTTAATATTTGACAAGAGAGCCAGTTAACTAAACATTAATAGGCCGTTGATAATTTTTAATATTGAAATATTGCAATCTTGGCTGCCGTATCCATCAATGAAGAGCGTTATTGGGCCATGATAAAGGATATTTTGATTCCATTTCTGTTAAGGACATGAACTATTGGTTCAACAACTTTGGAACAACTTTTCTACCAGTGATTTTGCTCAGACTTACAATGATAACACTTTTTCTGAAAAGAAATCTGACTGGGGTGATTTTTAGGGAAGTAATTTTTTGATTTCCCTAGTTTTCCCAACAAATAGGAATTAAACAACTAAACGGAAATAAGTCGAAACTACTTCATATCGGGCATGTAATTAAATAAATAATAATAAGTAAGAAGTTTAAAAAATTAAATACCTACCTATTAAAATGTATAAACTGTACAAAATATAGGTATACTCCGAAAAGTTGTATAGCATAGATAATGTATATATAAATACAATATTACTTGTATTTTTAGATTTTGAGCAAATTGTGGAATGTAATAGTTTTAGGTACTATATTTTTTATATACTGAGGGGAACAAGAAATATTTATTTTGTATCTGTAAACAATAGAAAGATGTCTGGAGGTCTTTTTTGTTGCATTTTAGATTTAGTTAGAAAGTCATATTTCGATTTTCCAGGTAGTTTGTATAATTGGAAAAGACTCAAAAGAAAAAAAGACATACTTCGCACGATGAGTGGGCCACCGTTGTAAGTAAGAAGTTGGGAAGATAGGATATAGAGGTTTTAATGTATATCTGTATTCGATGATTAATCTTTGCTAACGAAAAACGATTTTGAACGGAGTTAAGTTATACTTGTTAAAAACGCCATAATATTTACGATTTTTGTCAAAATTTAATATTAAAAAAATATTTGGTAAATTAAAAACAACTTTTTCTTGTTAAACGCTAAATTATATTTACAATGCACCTCCTGTTAAATTGTCAAGCATTTCTGTTTGGTATATAACAATTTTATCCGAGTCCGAACAAACCTACCGAATAAATATTTCGTAAAAAACTAGCAAAATTCGAATATTCAATAATTTAAAAATGGCTCAAATATTTTGGAAAATTTTACCGCATCTATAAAAGGCAAATATAAGGTTTCTGGCAAAATTTCAAGTTTTTATAAATATATTTCATTGAATTACAACAAAAAAACTAAATTGAAAATAATAAAAGCATTTTTTTTTTTTTGTAAATTTTCCTGTTTTTTCCCAATTAATACGAAAACCTATAGGAAAATCAAAAAATAACCCCACTAAAATACCACCACAGAAAAATTCCCTTTGAATAGTTTTCTTAATAATTTTTTAAAATTTCTACACTGTTTTGTTTTTTTGTAAACTGTAAGTAGTAAGTGTATAACATTTTAAGTTATATAAATACCTAATACATGTGGTACGCCACACATAAGTGTAACCTTTGTAGTAACCAATGTCGAATTTGAGGAGAGGGTGCGATGTGTGTATTGCCCCTCCTTGGAATCTTTTCGATCACGGCTAGAGCATATTGGCAATTAAACAATATAGTATTTATAACCGTGTGTCGTATTATTTATCATTTCTTGGATATTTTTATCAGCGTTACCAAAAAGTAGTAATAATGATATAACTAGAGAATTTTTTGTCTATAATACATATAGGGATATCGATGTGAATGTGCAAACAGTAGTCATCATAAATTGATTTGTAGGAAAAAAATAGATTAATATTGTTTTAAAATTGTTGTAAATATTTTTATGTACAATTTGTTCGATATGAATATATAATGTATATGTACATATTATGTATATTATGATAATTTTCATCGTAACATACCTATATATTACCTGTGTATACTTACATCATTATTTGTTTGTATTTTATTAATTATTGTTTATAACTAGGTGTATACTATTTTTTTTAATTTCCAAGGAGAGGAATTATAAAGAAAAATAATAACTGTTGTTTTTTTTTTTCGGGGCCGAAGAAATCGTTATATTTTTTGGTGTATTACAATATTTAAACCGCCCCCTCCTTGATTGAACTCCAGATACGCCACTGGTAGTTACTACATAGTAAGGTAAATATATCAGTAACGCAATAACTGGGGTGGATGGCGATGCCTAACGATGCCTGGAGCTCCAAGACTCAAAGAGGACCCTATCATAGTTGTAATTGTAAACTGAGGGTATTTTTAATGCAATCGATTCAAATGAAATCTGCGATCATTTATAATCAGTGACAGGCGCCAGAACTTTTACTTCAGGGGGGCCAAGCTGAGGCTAATATTTTTCTTGATACCTATGTATCACTCCATGGAGATTATTATGGTAAAATAATTGAATAGGCATAACATATTTTCTGTAATAGTAATTTTTTAATATTGTACTGATTTTCCCTGGTTTTTACATTTGCTGGGAAAACTCTTGAAAACATTTAAAAATTATCTCCTTAAATTATCGTCTCAGACAGAGTTCCTTTCAAAAAATGTGCTATCATTGTAAATCAGAGAAAATTGCTGGTAGAAAAGTTATCCAAAGAAAAAAATATCGTAATATTTCACTTATTAATTTCATACATTTTCTCGTTTTTCCACATTTGATGAGAAAACTTTTGAGAAAATTGAAAAACTACCTACTTTAAGTACCACCCCAAGAAAATTTTCTTTCAGAAAAGGGTTTAAATCATATACATCGGACTCATCGAAGTAAGCTTCCTTATAGAAGTGTTCACATATAAAAAAATTAACGTCTTTGTAAAACCAATACATTCTTCGCTACACTCGGAAAAAAATATAACTATGATCTCTACATTTTTTTGTATTTCTATATATTTTAAAACATGATATATTGCAAAACAGAATTTCTTTGTAATCATATAGGTGGGCCAGTCTGGGGTCAGGAAGATTTTAGGGTGAGCCGCCACTGTTTATCATAAATCATAAATTGTTTCTTTATAATTTATATTGTGTAATTTTTGTATTGTTTATTGTTACAATTTATTATAATTATTCCGCTAATATTAAATACAAATTGAAGAGTGCGCTTGATGATAAGTAGTCAGTATTCAAAAAATATATTCTCAAGAATAGGCAACAGACTTACCTTATCATCGGGGCCCCAAGAGCCTAATTGCGCCACTGAACTATATATCAAGGTAACTTTATAAATTTTAATATACCTAACTACGAATGACGTATATATTATTGTTTATATTTTTAATCTTTTAAAGTAAAACTATCGCGTGATGTGTTACGTAATGAGTGGCGTGTTATTATTTTGATAACTATCAAAATGATGTAGATACTATAGAGAGCACATTAGATCGAAACAAAAAGAACGGTCATACTTCGCACGATGGGTGGGTCACTGTTGTAAGTGAGAAGTCGGGAAGGAAGAAGGGTCAATGATTAATCATTACTAATGAAAAACGATTCCAAGCAGAGTTATGTTATGAGTGTTCCGTTGTTAATAATATATGTCACACTGTGGTAAAATAGTCAAATAAGCATTACACATTTTCTTTAATATTTTTACCTGAACTATTTTCCTCAAACTTTGATAGGTATTCAAATTATTTTATAAAAAATTTCTACGTTACTCAATTTTTTTTTTTTTGTTATCACAAAGTACGACTTATAATAACCTCTTATTAAATTTTCAATCATTTCTGTTTGGTCTAACAATTTTATCCACAATACCTATAGACCTAACTTAGCCAACAAAAATTACATTAAAAAATCTCGTAAAATTAAAATGTCTATAAATAGCTAAAAAAAAAAAAGGATTACTTTTTGAAAATTTTACATTTAGAAATTGCAAATAAAAGTTTTCTACCTAAACTAAAAGTCTACAAATACTTTTAATCGAATCAAAACAAAAAATGTAAAACAATACATTCGTATATTTTCTTGTTTTTTCCCATATATTATGAAAACTTCTGAGAAAATTAAAAAATGACCTCCCTTAAGTACCACCTCAGTCAGATTTCCTTTCAGAAAGTGTTATACTTGAAAATCTGAGAAAAATTGCCAGTAGAAAATTTGTAGACACAAAAAATAATAAACATCATTGTAAAACTATCATTCTAAAAATAAAAAAACAATACATTTTAATTTACCTATACCAAGACTTGATCTACTCCATAGTTAAAACTAAAACCAAATAAATGAAATTTGATTTTAATATCCATTATGTGAATTTGTATGTTTTTCAGAAAAATATATACTGTAATTTTTATAATTGACAATAGTTTCCAAAATTATATCACAAAGATAATATTTTAACTCAAAAATTGTTGTATGAATAATGCTAAAGATGTAGGTTACAAAATTGTGTCCAGGATCAGATTACTCGACATGATACATATTCTACTTATAGAGATTCATCATTATTGGTTACTAGATTTGTTTTCAACAAAATAAAATAATAGTATATCCTAAAAACCTGTAGTGCACAATGATTAAATTGTTATAAAACATAATGTTGTTGTTATAATTATAAAAATATTTAACTTAAAATAATATAAATTGTATTCAATTATAACAATTAATGTATTTATAAGCATTTTATTCAAGACAAGATATATGAATCAAAAATGCATAAAATAGCGGCTGTAGAATTTTTTAATCTTCCAAGAAGAAATATTGACCAGCTCGTTTTTGTTCCACATCCTAAAAAATAAAACAAATTGTTAATTCATTGATGGAATAATATTAAGAAGTGCATATGAAATGATAAAATACGGGGATAATCTATTTAACAATGAACAACCTAACCTAAAAAATTAGTTATGTTAGTAATTTTTATCTTACCTTTACAGAATTTGTCTTATTAATTCGGGGTCGGAAATTGTTTGGATCTCTTCTGAATGTTATACCGAGCAGCTCCAAAAATCTATTCATACCAGCTAATAAACCTTGTGGAGTGTTTGCTGTAGATGTTACTGACGGCTCACCTTCTAAAACTATAACTCGATCTGCCAAATAAGTAGCCATAATAAAATCATGCTCCACTACGAATCCAGTCTTTTTAGCATGTAGAATAAATCTTTTAATGACTTTAGCTGCTACTAAACGCTGTTCTGAATCCAAATATGCAGAAGGTTCATCGATTAAATATATATCTGCTGGTTTTCCTAAACACAATGCAATAGCTACTCGCTGTAATTCTCCACCAGACAAATTTTGAACTTCTTGGTCCATGATGTCATCAATTTTTAATGGTTTCATGACTTCTGTTACAAATTGTGGATGAATATAAGCATCTCGAATCTTTTCATGTAAAAGTACACGTACTAGACATTGACTTTTAGGACTGATCTTTTGAGGTTTATAACTTACATTGAGTCTTGGTAATTCAGCTATAACATCAGGTTAACCAATTATTTAAATTGTAAAAATTACCTTTATATTAAATACGTTAACTTATATTATATATTACCTTTGGCACCATCAGGTGGCATGATACCGGCTAAAAGCTTAATGAATGTTGTTTTTCCAGTACCATTTTCACCCAATAAAACTAAAATTTCTGAATCAGTAAATTGGCCAGTTTGAACTTTTAATGAGAAATTGCCTAGGGTTTTTGTCATTTCAGGATATTCATAGTGAGTCATACGTTTAACTTCTTCTTCGGTAGCACTTTCTGCTACTTTAAATATAAGACTTTCATCTCGAAAACGAAGATTTTCAGTTGGCACAAATCCATCCAAAAATATATTTATTCCTAAAAAAAGGTTTTAATCAAATATATATTACCTACACCTTACAACTAGATATTCTATAGACATATTTATGCATATATTTTTAAAAAATACAAACAAATGTTCTTACCTTCACGTACTGAAAAAGGCATAGTAACAACACCATAAGCTCCCGGCACTCCATACAGACAGCAAATATAATCGGATAAATAATCCAATACTGATAAATCATGCTCTACTACAATAATGTATCTAAATAAATTGTTATTAAAAATAATTGTAATTACTTTTAACAGAAATTATTTAAAAGTTTAACTCACTTATCAGGAGCAATTAAGGATCTAATAGTCAAAGCAGCCTTCAAACGTTGCTTAACATCAAGATAACTAGAAGGCTCATCAAACATAAATATATCTCCATTTTGTATACAAACCATAGCACATGCAAAACGTTGTAATTCTCCACCTGAAAGTTGTTCTATGGACCTATCTCTAATTTTATCCAATTCTAAAAAAAAAAAAAATATAAATTATAAACAATTTTATTCTTAATGTACTATTTTTATAATTTCTATCAGTATAAATTAAAAACATAAATAACACTAACATACCAAGAAGAGTACAAATTTCCTCAATGTTGTTTCGTTCATTTTTCTTATCCAACAGCTGCTGAACAGTGCCCTTTACAGCTTTAGGAATTTGATCAACATACTGTGGTTTGATCATAGCTTTTAAATCATCTTCTAAAATTTTGGTAAAATAATTTTGAAGCTCCGATCCTCTAAAATGATTCAATATTTCAGACCAATCAGGTGGATCCTGTACATTTTAATAGACAAAACAATTGTATTTATAAAAAAATAACATAATCTCATATATAGCCATAAAATCAAAATTAAACTAACAGAAAAACGACCAAGATTTGGTTTTTGCTTGCCCGCTAGTATTTTCAATGCAGTGGATTTTCCAATACCATTAGTTCCAACCAATCCTAAAACTTCGCCTTGCCTTGGTGTGGGTAATCTATGCAATTTAAATGAATTTTTTGAATATCTATGTGTAGTATCCTTTTCCAAATTACTAGGCAAATTGATTATAGTTATGGCCTCAAAAGGACATTTCTTGACACAAATACCACAACCAATACATAATTCTTCGGATATAGAAGCTATTTTATCATTGGGAGCTACTTCTATGCATAATTTTCCCATTCTGACAACAGGACAAGATTTTTTGCACTCTTGACGACATCGTTTAGGTTTACACTTATCATTATTCACAATAGCAATTCGGATTTGTTTATCAGTTTCTTCAACAGCTTTGATGCGCGGCATTCTAAAATATTATGAAAACTAAAATATAGAACAAATTGTTTAACTTGGATATTAACAGAGAAAAATGTGTACACGTTATTTACCTATTAAATATATTTAAATAAACTTTCACAAATAAAAAAAAAATTTAAGTACTAAACTGCTAAAACTAAATGATTGTATATTGTACCATATGATAAAAATGTTTAATAACTACAAGAATTAAAATAGGTTTACAGTTTTACAGATTAAAATTTTCAATTAGCAATATCCTATAATTTACAGGAATTGTCTGGAAAATTGAAACCAATTATTAAATTTTTATCATAATGAAAAAAAACACGTTGACATCGGTAACCTCAAAGATGGTATTTCAAAGAAAATGTAACTTTTGTAAAGCAAAATTTTCGTTATCACACTATATAGATCGTCCCTATACATTTGATGGTTACCACTTCTTATCAAGTTCATAATTCTAAAACAAGGATAATTATAAACACTTGGTTACAACTTATTAATTTTTATTTCAATTTTAAAAGAATTAACAAAATACTTTACACGTTTTTGTCTCATTTATTTTTCAATAGTTATACTTTATCCTAACTGAATTTACTTTAAAATGGCAGATAATAAAGAATCCAAAGAAACAAAATTTAAAGGTAACTATTAATATACTTTACATTTATTTTATAAATAAATTATAGTAAAAATATATATTAATATACACCAAATCATTTTCAGATTTAGTATCCTACAGTGAACCGGCTCTTCGTAATAATGCATCAATTGTTGAATATTGCCGTACTTCAATGTCCGCGTTGTCTGGATGTACTGCTGGTATTCTTGGTTTAACAGGACTATATGGATTCGCATTTTACATATTTTCTGTTTTCGTGTTATGGGTAATTGATGTTTATATATTATTTTTTTATTATGACTTAAGTATTCAATGGTTTAATGATTATTAACTTAAAAATTATGTTTATAAATCAGTCAGTGTTAATTTTGAGATTTTATTAGAAAGAAAAAATATACATTAAGTGATATTAATAAAAGTAAAGACTAAATATGTCATGTGGCTTGTGTTGTAAATAAATAATTATTCTCATCCTTGTTAGTTGTTAGTTTCATAAATCAACATTTATGAAAACATCTAAAATAAATAATTGTAAATTATTTACTTATATAAAACATATGTAGTAATAATATCTCTTGATATTTTCTAATTGATTATTGATGAAAAATAATTTTGGACCTAAAGACAGTAGAAAAAAACTTGTTAACTTTGGTCAATTGATTTTATAGATAAATTGGTAATTTTATTTAAAAATAATTAAAGCTAAAGATTTTTTTTTTCATTACAGGGCTTAATATTATTCAAAGCTGGACATTTGTGGCAAAAATATTTTCTCAACAGACATAGTTTATTAACAGGAGGCTTCTTCAGTGGACTTTTTGTATTCTTTTTAACAAATATATTATTTTATAATAATAATAATTTTTAATAGAGTTGTCGCAGGACCCAATTAAAATTTAAAATTTGGTAGATTTGAGTTTTTTTCTATGCTGTAATTGGTAAATTAAGTAAAACAACGGAACAAATCTAGTTAAACGCCCACTCAAATATTTAAGTTTTTTTTTTTAAAACGTGGTTTTACATTAAGAATGTTAAAAAAAAGGCGGATAAACTTTGTTTTGTAGTTATGAGGGAAAACTTCATAAAGTTCAGGTTTTCCATTTTGCGTTTTTCTTAATTAGAATTAATTATATTCAATTTTTTTTTTTCAAAATGTGTTATTTTAAATCCATTAGAATAATCTAAACTTACCTATCATACTTACTTTTATAGTTATTGTACATAAATCTTGAAAAATAGCATTTTTAGAATTAATCCAAAATGTGGTCAAAAATAGACATTTTTCATTATTATTATTTGTATTTATTGATATTTTGATAACAAAAAGTTTTTTTTTTATTGAAGTTAGAATAAATCATCTGGCTTAGGTTTAGAGTTCAAGTGTTTAAACACGCCATGTTTCCATGTTTTTCTGCACTCACTCTGACAATTTTTATCGAAAAAATAACTCTAGAGTTGTGCAAAACCATATCAGATAGGGAACAGGGTAAAGTGAAAAAGTATTATAGGTGAAATTAGAGACCCAAGGTGGTCACTCTCCAGAGTAAATTTTGTTTAAAATTGTTTGAGTGAGCGCAGTGAAACACTACGCATTTGTAACTAAATATAATCCAGATAGTCTTAGAAATTCTAACTTCAATGAGAAAACTTTGTTATCAAAATATCAATTACTTTGAAAATAATAATAATAAAAAAATGTCTATTTTTGACCTTAATTTGGATTAATTCCAAAAATACGTTTTTTAAGGGTTTATGTACAATAACTATAAAAGTAAGTTTTGATTATGCCATTTAAAAACATTCATTTTGAAAAAAAATACCCAAACATTCGCGTGAACGCTAAACTAGATTTATGCCAAAACAATTTTGCAAAATTTCTGAATATTTTGCATGATTATTATATTTAACTGGATTTAGAAGAAAATCTCTAATATCTGTCTAATTAAATCAAAAAGTTGTAGATTATTTAATAATTTGAATTTATATAAATATTTGTTGAATTAAATTAATTTATCATTTTAAAAATTAATTGTTACTTAAACAAATCCTTAATTCTTTTAAATTTTTGAAAAGTATTTGAATCAGACGTTTAAAATTTAATCTTAAATTACATGCCAATTGTATTTGATGTTTCTACCGATTATTCAATACTAGTACATAATAAAAAATATGGTCTGCAACAACTCTAGTTTTCAATTAATCACACATTTCTGTAAATAATTATATTCAAGGTCTGTTTTACTATTTCTATTAATTGTATTTAATTATTTTTCTTGCAGAATAATATAGTTCTATAGAGTTATTATTAACTATTAAACTTCATAGATGCATTTTTTTTTTAAATTCTTAACAGTAAAGTGTTCTCACAGACCTGATTATATTCTAATATAATTTAAATTTTGACAGTATAATATTTATAGTATTTAAATTATGTATATTCCTTGACTAAATTTTTCCAGACATATGTACTATTTTGGACGTATCCTTTTTTTAAAATCATTATTAGTTATATTTAATTGGATTAAGAATTTTTATTCTGAAGGCAAGTTTCAAACATGAACTGTGACTGAGGCTGTCATGGTTCCACTATGTACAATATAATTCCTATGGATTTACTATGGTAGGTTTAATTAATTCTTCTAATATTATTATTTGTATTTTATACAGGGTGTCCTACAAAAATTTGATATATGCAATAACCTTTGTTTTGTTCAGTATTTAAAATTTAATTTTGTTTTGTTAAAGTAATATAAATTAAATTATTAATTTTTCTATCAAAAATAATTTTTGTACTTCAAAAACTTAAGATAATTTTATCATTAATAAATATTTGTAGCACCAAAATTTTGTTTGAAAAATATATTTATAAAATAAGTAACTATGGCTGTAAAAAAAGTTTTAATTTTCAAAGAATATGAAATGGAGAAATTGTAAAAAAAAAGCACAAGGATTAAGTGATTATTAGGTACACACATTTTAAAAATATTAAATAAAACAAAAGTTATTGGAGAATCATTTGAATTTGTCAAATTTTCATAGGATATACTGTATAGCATATTACTTTATACTATTTAATTTAGAACAAGAGTTGTCAACCCTAAATAGTTGGAATGAAGATAAAGGAGAGAATTTATGGTATTAAAAGAACAAACATAAGCTTGTTAAACATTTTAAAATTTTAAAGTAAACTAAATTCTTAATGTAAAAATTAGTTTCTAAATCAAACACTTTAGATCTATAAAGTGTACACATGATGGCATAATTTATTCAAATTATAATAATATTACTCTGCTTTACTAAATGAAATATATTCCATTGTTTTGTTTCATTTGAGATTTTTCAAAAAGATTATTACAAATTATTTCTGATTTTAATATATTTAAATTCTTTTTCTTCTTTGCCTTCATTCCAACTATTTGGAATCTTCCACTTGACCTGATCTTCCATATTGCATGCATACACCTGCTATCCTCATATCATTTTTATTCACATCCAATCAACTTTTTTTCAAGTTTCCTCTTCATCTTTTTCCTCCTAAGCTAATTTTCATTATAATTTTTTCTGCTTCAGGTTACTCTATCCCCATAACATTCCTTAACTATCTCAGTCTATATTCTCTCATTTGACCTAATATCAAAGCCACCTCTTATATATTCATTTCTTATTCAATTTTTTTTTATCACTCCACTTATCCACTTAAGCATTCTCATCTCTGCTATACTCATTTTCTGTCCACCACCCAACACTGTCGGTCTCTGAAAATTTCTAAAGAACTTAACTCTAAGTGACATTGGAATTCTTTTATTGCATAAACCACTTTTTTTTGTTTTATCCTATGTTTCACATGCTCATGGATGCGATCATTCTTTTGCAGAAAAGATCCTAGGTACTTACAACTCTAAACCTCACTTATAACCGCTTATTGTCGTTAGCTGTCTTTTTCTGATTCTTCAAACTTATAATCTGTTTTACTTCTATTTATCTTTAGTTCCTTTCCTTCAAGTGCTACCTCTATTCCTCAAGCCTATTGTCAACTTATTCCAGATTTTTCCTATCAAAGCTGTATCATCTGCAAACATCTTGCACTGTAGTACCTCCTCTTACCTGTTGTCCCTGCACAAATCCGTGATAGAGCAAGTCTTGTTAATAACTTCATACTGTTTGACAGAATTTTACACCGACTGTCGATCTAACATAACCCTATTTGTTACCACTTACAACAGATAGAGGTTATTTTTCAACTGGTAGATTGATTTACAACTCCAATCCTCTATTCTAACTGATTACCCGCCTTTTTTTTATGTTCCTTAAAGGTTTTGACTCTTGAATCACATTTAATTTGACCTATATAAAAGTTTCGGGGGCGTCCTGCAGTTTTCTTTCCTTCTATCATACCCTCTAATATTATATTATACAACTCTTCTGGTTGTCTCAAGGCATGCCCAACCTTTTTCCAGTGTCTTGCTCTAATTGCATCTATGAATGTACATTTTTCTGCCACAGTTCTAAGTACTTCTTTATTTATTTTCCGCTTTATCCAACTTATCCTTTCCATATGCCTTCAACACTACGTCTCGAAGGCTTCTAGTTATTTCTTTCCGGCATCATTTATTACCCAAGTTTCACATCTATATGTTGTAACATTCCATACATATGTTTTTACAAGTCTCTTCTTAATATTGTGATGTAATTTTTTTGAAATGAGGAACTTCTGTTTTTTACTAAAGGCAGTTTTTGCTAATGCTATGCATTGTTTTAGCTCTCAGACGCTCTTACCATCAGATGTGATTTTGCTCCCTAAGTATACCATTTCCTCCACTTGCTCCAGTTTTTAATTACCTATGTACACATCAGCTTTTACTTTTGGGTCTTTGGCGCAGACTAAGATCTTCGTTTTTGCGCTATTTATTTTCATTTCTGATGTGTTTAGCATTTCATCTATTTCTTCAACTGCACGCTGTATGTCACCTTTACTCTCTGCTTTTACCACAATGTCATCGGCAAATTGTATCATTAAAACTATTTCTTCACCAATTTTGATTCCTATTTTTAGCCTTGTTAGCTTAGCTTTCACTATATTTATAACTTTTTCGATGTAGCAGTTAAAAAGTAGTGGTGATAACGTACACCCTTGTTGGACCCATTTTTTTTATTTGAGCGTTAAAAGTGAATTCTCTTTTTTTAATGTAAGCTGTCTGGTTCTTTTAAAGACTATAGATGAAGTCTTGTTATCCAACACTTATTTCTCGTAATGTGAGCTGCATTTTATTCCAATTAACTTTGTCAAAGGGCTTTTCCAGGTCCATGAAGGTCAAATTTGTAACTTTATTTCTATTGATATGTTTTTTAATTAGCACTCATAATCCTAAAATTGCTTCTTGTGTACCTTTTTGTCTTCTAAATCAATATTAGTCATTTTGTAAGTACTGCTCCACTTTTCTTTCTATTCTTCGGTTTATTATTTTTGTTAGGATTTTTGAGACGTGTGTTAGTAGGCTCATTGTTTTTTAAATTGTTCACAGGAATTCACTCCACTTTTCTTTGGTTTAGTTACAATTATGCTTTTGCAGTAATCATCTGGCACATCTCCTTTCTCATATATATCCCGAGTTAGTTGATATAAAGCATCCATAATCTTTTGTACTAGTACACTATAATAATTCTGCTGTTATATTATTAGTCTCAAGTGATTTATTCTGTTTCAAATCATAAAGCGCTAGCTCAAATTCTGATCTTAAAATGGGTAGCTTCATTTTTTCCTCATCTATTGTTAAATCTTTTCTCCCTTCTAAAGGTTTTCAATATACTCTTTCTATCGTTTTATTATGTTTTCATAATCAATAAATAATTGGCCATTTTTATCTCTTATATTGGTGCAATTTCGTTTTATCTTTTCGACAAATTGTCGGATCTTGCGATACGCATAATCTATTTTGTTAACTTTGAATAGCTCATTAATTTCGCCACACTGCTGCTCCAACCATTCTTTAGCTTTTCTGGTTTCACGATTAACCTGGTTCCTTAGTTGGCAATATTTTTGTCGTCCTTCTATCATGTTATTGTTTTTATATTTTTGTCTTTCATTTATAAGTTGTACTATTTCCTTGTCAATCCATGCTCTTCTAGGTTCTTTCTTTTCTTTTTTTGTCAACATAGTATCCGCCGCTTTTTTGATAGCTGATTTTATGTTCTCCCATTTTTTATTCAAAGTATTCTAAGTTTCCTTTTTGGTATTCACGATCCATGTAGTGTCTATATAGTGGTACTATGAATATATTCTATTCCAATCCCCTATTTTGATTATGATACATTTTAATTAGTTATTTGAAACAATATCTACATTTTATAAAGATTTTCAATTTGAATGTCACATTTCTTATTTGTTTTAAATATAAAACGTGCTTTAAATCACATCAGATAAATGTCATAGCAAAACACCATATGAAGTTCACAATACAGTAATATTTTTTAATATTAGTTACTGATACTTGCTTAGCTTTTACATAGCGGTTGAAAATTCCTGATCTAAGAGAAAAGAATTGTTATTACTGTATTTTTTTTAAAAAAAATCTTATTAATTTGATGAACATTTGGATAAATTACTTACAAATGCATTTTATCAATATTTTTTTTCTATAGTACTTTTAACTTTTAAACATTTTTATTATATACTTTATATAATATTATCTATATAATTTAACATTTTATTTTAGGTTTTTGTATATTATTAGACTATAAATATAAAATAATAAGGTGTCAATACACCTGGTGTTTTTATCAATAACTTTTTTTAAATTTTCAAAATAAATCCATTTGCACCTTGATTCATTAGTTATGTGACCAATGATGTCATCACAAATTAATATATAATCATATGAACATATGGATTATTTGTGATTTTGTACACGATGAGTAATTAATTTTACATTACTGTCACTATGTTACAATTTTCCTACAATATAACATGTATATTTAATTGCAATTCATTTTTTTCTTAACCTATTATATTGACAGATTTTTGTATGGTATGATACACGTTTATTGATTGTTTTAATTTATACTTACAATTTATGTATTATGTTTGAAAAATATATTGTATCTTGGGTTTATTATTATGTTAAAATAAATAACAAAAACAAATTATTGCTTTATAAGATATAATAATCATGTATAATTATATTGTAATAATAATATAATATAATAATAATTATAATAATAATAATAATAAATTATCACTAATTTAACAACATGAATGTGATTTTTTATTAAGTTTACCGTAAATGGTAATAAATTTTAGATTAGGTATGGTATATTATATAATAGAAATGTTGTAAATAAAATGTAAAACAGTCAATCGTTTACTTAAATAGTCTATTTTTTTTTTCTACATTAGAACACCAGCCTTAAAAAAAAATTAATATATAACAATATTGTTGAAACTTTCTCACTATGTAATGAATAATTATTATTTGAGGTCATATATTTCCCCGGATGCAGTTTTTGTATTGTCTGTTTGACTTTCGTCACTGGTTTTGACTATCTCGTACTCTTGTAGTTCCGTCTCCAGTTCATGTTCCCAATGTTCTTCTACAAACCGGGTCCGAAAATTTTTAATAAACACAAGGATAGGAGAAAAATACTTTTATAGATGTAAAGGTATAAATTATTATTGCACATTGGATGTAGGAAAAGCGAATAGAAGAGAAAATACGCTTTTCAGGGGGAATGGAAGCGAAGCGCTTAAAGATAGTCGTCTTGTGGTTGCAATTTGTTGACATCGTTTCAAGCTGTTAACACAATACACACACACACATATTTGTTTAGAAATACATTCAGTCTACACACATACTTGAATGAATTTCATGTATGTTTGAAAATATGCATAGTATATAAAATATTAATTTTAATAAAAATAAAACCAAAAATAGGGAGTGTTTGGGAAAACTGTTCTAATATAACTACTCACAATGTTATTAAATTCCCTCAAGTTGTAAAATTGTCTTTACTTACCAACTTTGTGAATTAGTTAATCAAAAATGTATACTCTTTAAGAATTGGATGTAACATAAGTGATTCCTATTGTTCATTTAAAACATTGGTAGTGTTAACTAAAAAGTATATTGTGCAATGTATATTATAATTTATAAGCCATCATGCATTCAGATGGAAAAAGTATTAGTAACTAAATTGTAATAATTTTGATATTAGAATTGCAATATAAGGATAGAAATTGTATAATAGTGCATCAAACTACAAATAAATATGGCATCCTTAACCAATCTGTAAACATATTTTTTCAACATAAAATAGAAAAAAAAATGGTATGCAATTAGTCTGATATTTACATACGTTCGTTTAAACTAAATATGTGTGTGTTTTTTACATGTCTGTATTTGAACAGAATAAAAATATTGTGTTGTCATTTAAAATTAAAATATAATATTGAATTACATGCATCATATTTTCTTATAGCATACTAACATTATATTTTTCAATAGAAAAACAAATATGGTACAATAATTATGTATTTAAAATTACCTACAAAATTATTTCAGTGGAGATTTGAAGTGTAATTTGTAACTGTTTTAGTGATATCTTCATTGTAATTATAATATTTTAAATTATTAAATAGGCCTTTTTTGCCATGTCTAAATAATTCTTTATTTTAATAGTAAATGATAAATTCTTTTAAATATTAAGTATATATATATAAATAAAAGATACTAAATAAACAAAATTAATAAAACCTAAATTTGAATTAAATTTTAAGTTATATTTAATCGAAAATTCATTATATTCTTTGAATATGTACTTTTTTCTTTTACTTACCATTATCTGAAGACTTAACACCCAAACTTTCTTGCAGGCTTTTCCTTATTTCATTTATTTCATTTGCATCATGTTCTGCAAATGTGTCGGATACAAACTCTGATTCTTTCACATAATTGTAAGTATCCTTGTTCACGGTGTCTATTGTTACAATAATAATTTTAAAAAAATGCAAAATAATAACACGAACCTACTCAGCAAAATAAAATAAAAGGTGCAGTAATTTGCTAAATAAAAAAAATTTGAACAGCAAAAGATGATAACATGCAAACAAATACTAACAGCTTTATCATACTTTTATTAAAATAAACAAACCCTAGTATTTAGGGATTGATGATAATTTGTTTGTTTATGAATAAATAATTTAAATTAAGTATGTTTACTAAACAACAGTGTAAACAAATTTTAATCACATATTTTAACCTCATAATTAATAACTATAATAATATTTATTTAATTACCTGTCAATTCAGAATTGACATTTGATGATACTGTATTGTAGTCTGTAGGATCGAGTGTTTCCAAATTGCTTGCGTTGCAAATTAAATTGACTCTGTAGAAATAGTTTTGCCAGAAATTTTCTTCGTTTATTCTAAAAATTATTATTATTTATTTAAATTTTATAATAAGTAATCTTATATTAAATGTATAAAATTATAACTTACACTTTAGGAACAAGATCAAATCGCATTTTCTCTAAGTTTGGATCTTCTGCTAAAATAGCCATAGCGATGGGATAAGATGTTTCATAATTGAAACTGAAATCTACACCTACTGGAGGACTGCGTACAAAATTGCGCCTATCCTACAAATAAAATAAAATATTTAATTATGCAATTAATTAAATTATAAGTACAAGTATGCATAAAATAAATATATTAACTTAAAGTAAATACAAATACTTGTAAGATTTGAATATATACCTGTTGTCCTGTACATTTTGAAACATAATTATTTATTGTTCAACATTAATGTTGATAAAGTTAAAACCATAAGGAATATGGCTCTAGTTTGGTTTTTATTATCACATTTGAGTACACTATTTTTTTTATAAATTAATTTTAATATTATAACTTTTAGTAAAAATAAATTATATAATTTGTTTGTTTTTACCAATTTCAAAAACTATTATAATAATTTTCTTTAATTTAGGCATTTAAATTATAGAAAAATAATATGTCTATAATTCTAAAACAGTAAACTTTTATAAATTTAAAGTCTAAGAAATTAATATGTTTCTTCTTAAAAAAAAATTGCAATTAAATAACTAAGTTATTAATTAAATATTAAGTAACTTTCATATTATTAATATTAAAAAAAAAAAATAATTATAATTCTATACTAACTGTTGACAAAGCAAGACATTCAGCCTTAACGGTTTCTTCATTTGAATGACCAATCCATGGTGGAACAGCAGCAACCTCGTTATCTTTTTTATCCTTTAAAAATGATTCTTGTTCTTTGTTTAACTCTCCAAGTATACCCTAAAAATATTACCCTTATAAATTATACAACTAACAAAATCAAAATGGATTAATAATTTTGTTTAAATATTTTTTTTCTGTCTACATAAATAATGTTCCTTGAGGATTTACTGTCGTGATCTCTATATTTAAACAAATATTTATTTTTTTAATTATTTATTGATTTCCTAGTAAACTTGCTCAAATTTTCTGTGTAGGAACTTTTCTGAAAGCTCATATTTTATAGATTGTACTTTAGAGTGGTCATTTTTTAAATAAAAGCACTTAAGTGAGAAAAAACTTTCACAATTTCAATATTTTATAAAAACACACATGATGTTTTCCACCAAAAAAATTATTTAATCGAAAAATCACAAAACACCATTTTGATTTACTTTCTTACAGTATCATTGCCAGCCAAAACTTTTGAGCTTTTAAGGAGTTTTAAATTCTGGGAGTGTTTTTGCTGTGATTCGGTTATAAATACACTTAGAGACTTGAAACTTGGTAATAATATTTATATTAGACTTATCTAGCATGATAGAATGTCCAAAATTATTGGGCAACTTTTTTTTTGGAATAAACGTTTTGAAATCAAATTTAAACAAAATTTGCAAAAAAAAAATTACACCACTTCAAATTATGTATTACCGAACTATGCTTGGAATCGTCTTTCGTCAAGCAATGGTTCACCGTTGCTTACAGATATAAATGAAATAACCTTTTGTATCCTACCTTCTCACCTACAACAGTGGCCGCTCCCATCCCCAGTATCAGCTCTTTTTTTAAATATTAAATAGTCAATTTATACATTCTATACATTAAGTAAATAATTTATTGGTTATAATTTTTAATATTAAAGTGATGAGAAAGAAATATTTATTTGTCTTACATGAATTAGAAGTAAGTTGGATACACTACATCATAATTAGGACTTGAAAACTTAAACATTTTTTTTTTTTTAATGATTTTTTGATCAAACATTTCAATATAATATAATATAAATATACAATTTTTATTTTGCACCTACAAAAGATATTTTACACCTAGTAATTGTATTAAATTTTTTTTTTTCAAATTTTTGAATTGGAAAATATGTATTTTTTTTTTATTTTCAAACAATTACCAATTTGCAAATATGTTTTATACCTTAAATTAAAATAAAACATACTTTTCTGGACATTTAAATTTAATACTAAACAAATATTTGAACAGCTTTAATTAGGAAACCTATATAGGGCTCTAGCTTTAATAATTACAAATACAGATAATTGGACAACTTATGTTTAAAAATATAGAAATGTTTGCATCATACAAATTTAAGAATAAAAATAATAATAAATGTCTTAGATAAATTTAAAAATACAAATTTCTATAAATATAATTTTCTTTCAACATTTATTAAACTTAATTTATTTTTTTACAACTTTTAACTTATGATTATTATTTATAGTTCATTTATTTAATATATGTTACCCGAGGGGTGATACGTTAATATAATACCCAGATGGCCTCTTATCTGGGTTAGCAACAATTGGCAGGTTTATGTCAAGTCTCAGGATCTACCAGATAATATATTAGATTTAACATCTTAATATTTTAGTGTAATTTTATGGTAAAATAAGTTGTTTTTTAGTATTTTTTTGTAATTTTAAATTTTAGATTTTTAATTATAAACATGTATTTTCATTATATACTTTAAAATGAACTGTAATTGTATCTTAAAAACATTAATACAATTGATATTTTTTGAAAATATTTTTTTATCAACAAATTTTGAATTAATAGTGGGATTTGATCTAACCTAATTTTAAACAATATAATCAATACTAACTAATATTATTTTTATACTGATTATTATTATTTACAAATATTTAATGAATTAGATTTAATATAATTATTTACTTAAAATTTTATTGTAATATTAGGTCAAGGTTGGAAGTTGCTTTAAGCCGTACAGTAAGCAGGGTAGGGAAATGCAAGGGGATAGGGTGGATCAATAAACTGCTACTGCTATTAAACAGCATCCCTTCCCTTTAAGCACTTCCGTAATATCTATACTGCACCACAACCATAAAAGGGTGGTAATATGAGCAAATAACAAATTGAAATAGGGCATGATTAAATAGTTGACCTAACTATATAAGTAAGTTTAAAAATTCAGCTATACATTATAAATTAGTTTATTAATATTTATATACCTATTAGAAATTATTAATTACCTAATAATAACTTATCTAAGAACTAATAAAATTAAAATTAATACATTCAGCCTTTTCACAAAAATTAAATGTATTAATATTATGCTTGTAATCTAATTTTACCAATATCATTCAAATTAAATTGTTAAAAAACTTTAAATATTTACTTTTCTTATTATTATACCTATATTATAAATCTAAGTTTAAAAGTTGTAATTAAATATTTGTATTTAAAAAAAATGTTTGCAGTTCAATAAATGTATAATACATGGATGAAGGGAGGGATGTCCTGAGACCCAAAACAACTCCCCCACACAGGTTGTGCAACTGTTTGAAATAAATTTATTTGTTTTTATTATTTCTAAGCTCAATATTGGAAATTTATATCTACCTATACCTACTTTTGATTTACTTTAAATCATTTTTTTTATTAATATCATGTATCAACTGAAAGATTATAAAGATATCAATAAACTAGAATTTTGTATTTTTGTAAAACCTACATTTTCTCCAACAGTTTTCTTGATCTTGGCCCCTGCTTCACTGACAGTTTTTCCGGCTTTATTCACAGCACTGTACAAGAAGTTTCCTATTGACTTTGCCCCTTGGATAGCTTTTGTTGATACTAAAAACATGAAATATATTTTAGGTACTATTATTTATTTGTATTTATTACCTATTAATGTATATGATCAAAACAGAGTAAATTATCAAATAAAAGTTTTCATTATTGAAATGTTAATCTCTTAATAAATGTATAGGTACTTAAATTTTAAAAAATAAAAAAAATGTCTAAATTAATTTAAAGACTTATAAAATATAGGTACTAACCATTTCCACTTTGTGTATTGCCCAAATCATCTTCTCCCTCTGAAATAGGAGTATCTGGATCCCCGGTAGCACTAAAATAAAATATACATGGTAAGTAAAATTGTATTAAATATATATATATATATAATATAAATCTGTAACTTACCTGGAGTTATCATCTTCTTTCTCTTTAGTAGGCTCTTGTAGAAGTTCTGCAGGAGGGTCTGGTACAACTTCACTGTCACTTTTACGCAAACCAGATATACCACTTCCCAACCAACTTGACATTTGATTTTTCACGTTGCCCAACAGTTCTAGTTTACTAGGCGGTGGTTTTGTAGGACTAAAGAAAAAAACAAAAATTACAGAATCACTTATATAATATTTACCTACACAAAGGTACATATATGTATACATTGTACAGTTTAAATTACCCACCTTAAATCGACTTTTTTATCAATAAAATCCTCGGGCATTTCGGTTTTAGGCGATGGTACAGTTTCTTCGACGTCTTCTTGCTTTTTACCAATCCAACTACTCATCTGACTAGTGATTCCGTTAAACATGTTGACAGTTGCTGATTTGTTTTTTTTTTTCAACGATATAAATTAAAACTGATTTTTTTAACGAATTTTTGAATTTTTAAGTCGTTTTACGGTTGGTTACTGATCGACGGTTCGCCTTATTATTTCGGAAAGAAAAATTGGCAACGAATTTACATTTATACAGACGTAAACTCGAAGTCAGTTTTTTTAAATCTCTAAAATTAGTTGCAAAAACAAAAAACACAACCACAATCGAGGACGCCACAAACTCGACTGGACGGTACTACAGTAGTACAGTAGTCGACCGAGTCTGCAGTCGACACAATCGCGTCAACGCAGTACGCACCGAGCGACCGGCGGGCCAATTAAACGAGATAATCGATCGGGTGAAAAGTTTCGGTACGCCGTTTTTAGACTGGTGAGCTGGTAGCATTGTGATAACATTACGTAATCTTGTTACGAGTTATCGGTGCGGAAAAATACAAATAATAATAAATTAAAATAATGAACTAATGTATTATTATATAGGTGGTAGATCAGGGGCCGTGTTTAAGAATTTGCAGAACCAGGATAACAAAAAAAAAAAAACACGATGAACAAAAAAAAAACGTCATCGTCACAATATGTGTACCAGGTGATCCATTTAAGTGGGTACACTCATTATCTCGGAAAATATTAACTTTTTCAGGAATTTCTTTTCTAGAACTTTCAAGAAACAAGCTGCTCTACAATTTTACATTTATGCTATTTTTTGTCAGCCTATTTTTTGAGGGTAAAACCATTACTTACTTTTGATTTTCAAATGGCAACCTGTATAAAAATTCTATGTATAGATAAATATTATTAGTTGAAATACATTTTAATGTTAAAATGTTTGATTTCCATCAATCCGTTAACAAGATATTCCACTTTTAAGTTTAAGCTGGAGGAGAGTAGTGGTGCATTATTAACACGCCGCGTTCCGTACCGCCACACAAAGGATGTATGTTAGTGAATTTTTAATACTCGCTGTCCTCAATGGTATTTCGATATTCGGTACATTTTTGCTAGTAATAAATTGGTCCTTGCACGAAAATATTTGATTTCTACCTATTTTATATTTTTATAGAACCCATCATTTGTAATACTTAATATAACACCCAACATATTATTTGCATCGACTGGAATTTTCAAATGTTAGAGGAGGAATTTATTTTCACTCTATGATTTCTTTTTTTTCGCTTGCGTCATTAATCCATCAGTAATTTTTTCCAGTCTTTTTTTAAAATTTGTTTTTTTTCGCATTGTTGTTCTAAATTTTTTTCATTCTCATTTATAATCTCAATTTCATTTTCTTTCAGAATTACCCGAATGAGGTTGGTCAAAACTATAAGTATAATACAGGTACGTATACATGGTGAGGGGGGGGGGGTTGGGGTTCAAACCCCCCTCAAAAATTGATAGTTGTGTAATTTATTTATATAAATTTAATATTTTTATTATAAATATTGATTATTGTAAATTTTTTATGAACCCCCGAATTTGTTTTTTGTGTACGTGCCTGTAGTCAGGTATGGGTGGTATACACTATACGTTTACAATCGAAATCCCTATTCGTATTAAATTAATTGCCCACCATTTAAGTACCTCCTACTACCCCATATTATAATCACCGCACCTATATGTATATAATACATTATATATAACATATATTGTGATGCATAATAAATAATTGAAATCCGTACATTCATAGTATTTGTATGATATCGATCGGTGGCCATTGCCAACATTCTTCTGTTGAACAACACAAATGTATTTGGGAAAATAATTAATATCCTTCAGAGTTTAAAGCCTAGGCAGGTACCTAACAAAACAAGACTTCTGGACCTTTTCTGCATAATGTACGTAACCCCGTAACCAGCACTTTTGTATAATGAATCACACTTTTTTTTTACGATTTACTGTTTTTCTAGGGTTTGAATATAGCTTACATATATATTTGGTTAGACATTATATACATCACATAAATAATTTTGAATAAAATCGCTCATCGTGGAAACTATGCGAACCATGGTGAACGCAACAAGATCGAAACCAAATTATTTATTTATTTATTGAATTTACGCTAAAGGCTCAAGTACAGTAATTAAATGTATACAAATAAATTTAACTTAAAAATTTAATTAAATAATAAGAATGAAGAGAGAAATATACGTACATTATTTTAACTTAAAAAACAATCAAAAATGATTTTAACAAGTAAAAATTTGAATAAATAATGTTTAATAAAGTAATAAAAAAAATAATAATATTCGAATATCTGTGATCATTATAAGTAGCGTTTTAAGATTGAAGTGAGTAAGATTAAGAATGGTTTACCGTATAAAACGCCTTACTATCTGTATAAATTTTATCAGTTTAAAAACTTTATTCCGCAGAACTAACAAATTCATTTTCAACATAATACATTTGTTTCTGTAGATTTACCTTTAATAAAACCTTGTTGGCTAGAATTAATTATATTCCTAAATGCAAAACGAAAGGGATGGCACTAATCATTTTTCAAGGAGTTTAGGAATTTCTCACCCGGTAATTTTTAAATTTAGGAATCTAAACAAATGTTTCCAATAAAATACATACGTACTGCTGGGTAAAAAATCCGCATCGTTTAAATTATACAATGTGAATAATTTTGAAAATTTTTACTAACTGAAAATTTGTTTTCCGGAAGAAAAAAACACATCTTAGTAAACTAATAGCTTAGAATCTAAATATAACATTTTGTTAAAATATATATTCTATAAAATTCTAGGAGAGAGGTAGACTGATACATAAACCGATACTCTATACTGGAAAAATAGTTTTATCGGCACTTGGTTTTAGATTCTGAGCGGAGCGAGGAATTAATTATTTTTTTGACCAATATTTGACGTTATAATATTTTCCGAGAAATATGTCTATAATTTCTTTGGAATATAAAAATTGAGTCAACCAATATATCGGTTAGTTTCAATGTTAACTCATGGTTTCGATTTTAAATATTAGGTATCGGTTTTATATCGGTAAAAACTCATATCAGCCACCCTTAATATATTCTCAACCAGAGTTAATATGTACTTGTAAGTAATTTTATCGTTATACACGCGATTACTCTCCAAATATAAATGTATTATATACATATTTAGCAACATTTCGATGTTTATGTCTAAGGGTTTGCACCAGTCTGCAGAATATATTATACCATGTGCACAACAGAAAGCAGATAACGAGCATTACGATTAGGACGCATATATATTTTTAATTAAAAAAAAATAAATATAAATAATGGTTTATAAATTCGTGACATATACGTCCTATATGTATTATACATTGTTGTATATATATTTACACGAATCCTGTATTTATGTATTTACTGTTGGGCTAATGATTACGATGTTTACTTGTACCTACCTATATTTCACATGGGCGATTTCACGAGAGCGTAGAGGAAGAAATATAAATAATAGATCCCGCATAACTTTTTTGTGCCAAATTAGAAGTATTGTTATATTATTATTATTTTTTTTATTATAATGATATTTCAAAAGTTTTCTCATCAAATTTGAAAAACCGAAAAAAAACGTGAAAATGTACGAATTATATTACTAAAATATTATATTTTTTTTCCTGTGCATAACTTTTCTACCAGCAATTTTGTTCCAACTATTAATGATAACAATGTTTCTAAAAGAAAATTTCTCTAGGTACTTGGAAAGGTCATTTTTCGATTTTTCCAAGAGTTTTCCCGGCAAATGTGAAAAACCTATAAAAAAAACATGGGAAAATCGGGAAAAAAGTTGAAAAACTGGGAAAATCGGTACAACATTAAAGAAATATTATTAAAGTAAAATATATATGAAATGGCATATATATTGTTGACAAAGCATCACTATCAACTGGATTCCGCTCAAAATAATTTTTACGTAAGCAATGATTTATCGTTGCTAACAGGTATATATTAAATTATCTATAACAGTAGCTGCACCCGTTCCCATTATTCTAGGATTTTTTTATTTTACATAAACTAACAATAATAAGTTAATTTTGAATTATATATTATACACAATTAATTTTAACTTCTTTAAATTTTAAGTTTCAACATAATATATTTATTATTTATATTTTATAAATAAAGCGTTAAAAATAAAATGTTATTAATAAAACATTTTATTTTTTAAAGTTTACTGTGTTGATGTTTAATGAAGCTTTATCTATGATCTTCTTCAATACATGACCCATGTCTGTCTTGAATTGATCATCGATATTTTCAAAAAATTATAAACTTAATGTTTAATCATTTTTATTGTAAAAAGATAGCAATTTTCTAAAAAATTGTAAATTAACAACTCGACTTACTTAATTTTTAAAACAATTAACCTAACTTAAATTAATTAATATGTTATATACAGGGACGGCATAGGGACGGTGGGCCGCTTCTTCAAATAACTATTAAACAAATTTTCAAAAAATTATGCTGAAAAACCTGTCCTTTTTTTTTACTAGTGGTTACCTGAGTCGATCTAACTATTGGTTTGTTTAAATTTCTGGGCAATTATCGTTTATTTAGTTGTTTTATTTATTCATTGAATTCTATATCAGTGGTTTTAACCTTTTTGAATCCACGGCTCTTCTGATTTTAAAAACCAAATTAGTGGCTCCCTTACGAATAATGATAGTATAATAAAAAAAAAGAATATTAATATTAAACAAATTTACTGTATTACATACTGTACCTAGTATATTATTACTATAGACGCGGATCTCTTAATAATAAACCACGACGCCCCCGAGAGCCGCAACGCATAGGTTGAAAACCACTGCTCTATATGATAAGGTTATCTTAAACTGACTTATAATACACAGGGTGATTTTTACATTTTGAGTGGAGTGAAGAAACTTATGGTTTTACTGTGATGTTTTTATATTTTTTTTTTTTGTTATGTGTGAACAACTTTTTTACTAACAATTTTACTCCGATTTACAATGATAGAAATTTTTCTGAAAGGAAATTTGACTGGGGAGGTACTTTAAGGTAAAGTTGCCATTTATAAAAAATGACGAGCTGGGACACTACAATACTTCCAACCCTCATTTAATATTTTTATAATGCTAATAAATTTAAAAAGTCAAAAATTAGAAATACAACAAAATGTAATAACATAATTATTATTTTCTTATCTATAAATATAATTTTTAATTATTTATAATTCTAAAATTAAAAAAAGAGCCGATACTGGGAATGGAAGTGGTCACTGTTGTAGGTGAGTAGTTAGGAAGG